GCATATTTGGAAGTATATCAACTATTACTGTGTTTCACTTTATAAAGTCAACAGGGCTATTATTTAGCATAAATAGCATTTTATCTGTTAAGAAAAAATTAAAAATATATGTAAATTTTGCATTCGCTAGTTTTTTTTTCTTTTTCTCTTTTTTGTAATTGACTGCATATTTTAGGGTTTCAACACTTTTCTTTTACCTAGAAATTAAGCCCTGGTGATAGTGTGTATTATTAAAGTCCATTTTATAAAAGTTTGAATTTAATGATACAAAAAAATACTTAGATAAGAAACAAAATCAACAACTTCAAATAAATAAAAAATTGAAAAATCATGAATACATCAGATCAATAAAATAGGAACTAAAGTTCTGATGTAACTATCTTAAAGCTAAAAGAATGCTTTGTTTATTATACTAATAAAACCTATTTTATTATAAAAATTTTAATTCATATAAAATGAAAAATATTTTCATGAAAAAATGCCTTTACCTTTCTAAGCAAAAACTAATTGAACGAATCAAAATAACAAATCAAGACAATAAAGAGTAAACAAGTCTGTGAAGCGGATACTAAAGTTATTATAAAAAAGAATATTAGTAAATAAAAAAATATTAATTATATCAGTAATAAATAAAAAAAAATATTAATGTTATAATGTAAATATACATATGTAAAAATATATATGTAACTATTTCAAAATTCTAAACTTGCTTTGGTTATTGTACTACATGTAATTTAAATCACTTTCATTGGAGATTCAATTGATTGGAATTAACTGGGCTATAAAATATAGTGGGAAACAAAGTTAGTATGTAACTATTGTGGCGTAACTACCACTATAAATATTAAATATAAATTGGGTAGTATAAAAGACACGTTAACTCGATTAATATCATGTGGTTTACCTCATGGTAACACCACAAGGATCCACCATCACACGATGAAGGGGTAAAGTGCCATCTTGAGGTATTGAAGGTAAATGAAGGTTGACATAGTCTATAAATTAAATCCCTTCAATTGTGACCTGCGGTCATGATATAAACTTGCCAACAATGATGGCTGGTTCACATTAAAAAAACAGTTGATTTGCTTATAAAATATTCTGCTCAAAAGAAAAAAAAATTCGGTCCCTTGAAAAAATATAATGTGTTATAATGATAAAATAAATAAACAGCGTATATCAACTAGTGGCATTTGTTCATTGAATTCTATCACAGTTAACATTTCTAGAAGGGGAGTAATACGGCGTAACTAACACTATACTTCCTCCGGGTCATGAATTTCATGGACATTGTTTAGCCCTGCTAACTTTCGGGATAAGGAAGAAGATATTAAATATCGATTGCTAAGTATAAAAGACATGTTAACTCTTAAGTATTTTAAGTCACTGTAATTGAAGATTCAATTGATAGGAGATAAGTCCTGGGCTCTATGTAATTCGCGACTGATATTTATTTCCAGTATATCTTTTAAAATCAAAAGTTTTATTCAAATAAAATAAAATATAGTGAAATAAAAACTGTAATTACAACTTTAAACAAAAAATAATTAAGTAAAATTTAGAAAACAAAATTATTCAATGAAACAAAAATAAGTTCTATAACAACTTCAAAACTTAAGAATATTTTATTTTTAAAATCTTTTTCATAATAAATAGTTTTGTATTCATTTGAAATAAATTTCATAATAATCAATTAGATTCATGGGAAATACTGAAATACTTAAATTAAAAAAAAAAAACATTTACTGAAAAAATATATCTACAAGTTTAAATAAAAAAATAATTAAATCTAGGCAAATATTACTTTTTTTTTAAATGTTGCTTAATTGTCTTAATATATAATTTTGTATATTTTGTTCATCTTATAAAAATTTCTTTTATTATAAGTTTAATCAAATAAAATTTAAAAAAAAAACATTTATTGAAAATACCAGTTTAAATAAAAAACAATTAATTATTGGTATATATTACTTTTTTTCTCTCAATTGCACAATCATTTGCCACGCAAAACCAGATCTTCTGTATGGCACGTGATTATGCAAAATGAATCCAATTTATGATGGAATTACGTTTTTTCGAAATTTTAATCCATTTGATTTTTCTTTGCCATATTTGCTTTAGTTTACGGTAGTTCCATAAGTTTCTTTTAAAGAAAAAGAAATTATAGTGGGTAGTTTAAAATACTTAATGTCATCATGTTTCATTTAGTAACACATTCAAATTTTTATTAACTTATTTATATTTTAATTGCATTAAAATAAACATTTGTGGCACATTATATATTCCGTAATTGTAGAAAAGTTTCTTCATTACTGTAACTACCTCATAAATTTGCAGTGCAGTTTAAGACCTTAAATTGGTTTAAAAAATTTTAAAAGTTGGTTAGCTGTGCAAGATAGAAAGGAAACATTGAGCTGTGTTATTTTTTAAATCAGTTTTTTTAATATAGCTAATTACAATATTAAACAATAATATAATTTAACGTGATGCATGGACGTCGTTGGTTGAAAAGGCGATGGGTTTATCTCCCCCCTCAATAATTAAACATCTCTCTCTAATAGTCTTCCTCAATATTCAGTCAAATACAGAAATTTTCATGAATCATCCTCGATTTAAACTATTCAAAGTGAGAAACTAGAACAAAGTTAAAAAAATAATGAATCTTTTTACATTAATTTAACATAAATAAGACTTTTTTTTTCTCGTGTGTAAAACTTAGAGAAATATTGTGACAGTTTATTTTAATTTCGTACCCCTAAAAAATTAAAACCCTGTGACGCTCATGACATGATGCACAATTTTATTCTAGAAATCCCCCCAAAAGCATTGCACAGGTTAATGCATGTTTACCAAGTGGTTTCAGAAATTTAATTCGAATTCAAGAAATTAGATTTTTTTACGTGACCTGTTAGATAAAACATTAATTTCTTTTCCTTCATTTTATAAGTCATTTATGTGAATCAAACTTGTATAAAAATACTAATTAGGTTTCTTCAGGTATTGTAAGGAAAAAAAATCAGTAAAGCACGAAAAATGTATCTATAAAAAGAGCTATAAAATTGATTTACCGGAATTTTTTACGCTAGAAAAAGAATAATGCATTTTCATATCAAAATGTTCTTTAAACGTTTTGTTCAATATACATGAAATTTCAAATTTTTATTATCGAATAATATTTGAGTTATGAGTAAGAAGTGTGGAAATTTTTTGAAATAGCGGTGACAGCGACAACAATTTTTCCTTATTACAGAAGTAATTTTCAAGTGTGGGGTAAATTTGCACCAATTGTGGGGTAAATTGCACCATACAGTACAAAATACATAAGAGCAAAACAAATGAGATTTAAATTTACATTGAAATGAATCTGCACATTACGGCAACGGCATCAAAATTAGTGATTTAGAAACATACTTGAAAAAAATAATGTGAGAAAAAAATGTTAAGTATAAAATATGTTTTAAATATTTTGAATTTATTTGTTTGAGCCCCCCTCGTCGGGGAAAATCTGGCTCTATCCTTGTGCAAAACTATGAAACATTTTAATTAGTGGCAGATCATAGGATAGGAAATAGGATTAATAATTAAAAAAAAAAGGCTATTAGTTCTCTAACACGCTCATTTTAAGTCAACAGTTTTATTATGACTAGAAAAAGTTTGAACCACCTATTGACGATAGATCTGTTCTAATGTGACCCAAAATGTATAGTATTAAATTGCCTCTCATAAGTTTTTTTAAGCAGTTCAAGTTCAACTTGAATTGCGGGAAAAAAACACCACCTTGAATAACTTGTGATGTAATTATCAGAGAAATCAAATTTTAAAAAAGTATATTTAAACTTGACAGATTTCGCATTTTATTATGTAAAATGAGCCGACAAGGTGGCCGAGTGGTTAGCGTGTCTGACTGCGAAGCCATTGGCCGCGGGTTCGAATCCTGCTCAGGGCATGGATGTTTCTTTCTTTCTCCGAGTTCTATGTCCTTTCATCTTTGTGTGACTGTGACCCGCTCTATAAACGGGTTGTGTGACGTGGGCGACGCTGCTCCACCGCCTGTAGCTTCGCCACAGGTGCTTACTGGGTAACGAGAAGAGAGTAGCAGTTCTGTGGCCAATGGGACAAACCCCCAAGTGTTCCGCAATTAAAAAAATTTTTTAATATAAAATGACGTTCTCTAATGTAATGTAAAAAGTATACTTCGTAATTCAAAATTTTTTCGACTATTGTTTAAAAAAAATAAAAAGTAATAATTATCTTTGCATGGTATGTTTGGATAAACGAAATTTATAATTTTGTTTAAAAACTTTTCAAATCAATTAAAAAGTTCTTGAGACATAGCAAAATATGTAGAGAAAAATTAACAATAAGGGAGCAAACTTTCTCCTGACCAAACTGGGACCATATTTTTTATAGTATGGCTATCCCTCACATTTTGAGGTTCAGACAGGCCGGTCCAAGGTATAAGCCTGGTAAACGGCTGTGTAGGGTGCCTAAGTGCGGCAAGGCTAGATTAAAATAAAAAGCTTTTTACAATCTAATTTTCCCCTTTCTCCGTTAGCTTGGTTAAATTTACAGAATCGCCACAGACTTTCAGAATCGCTTTTTTTTCATGTACATTTACTAACAAATACAGAAATTTAATAATGTTTTAAAGTAAATGTTAGATGAAAAAACTACAAATTCAAGAAAAACTACTAAATTTTTTTTTATTTCTCACTGAAGTAGGAAAAATTTCTTCAGTTAGAAACAAAAAGTGACAAATTTTTCTTTATTTTAAAAATTTAAGATTTAAAATGACTCAAAAAATTCTCTAAGATTTAAAATTTTTTTTTAGACTTTAAAATGAATTATTTCCTGGACTTATTTCAATAACTAGATATTTTCTTGTGAGAAAATTTAGGACCATTACACATTTTTATTCTAACCCAGAACCAGTATCATTGCAAATAGTGAAAAAGTTACCAGAATTGCTTTTGGAAACAAAGAAAATAATGAAACAAAACTTATTCTTTCGAAAGATATCTTTATTAAATTCCAACAATCAATAAGAATATTTTGACATTTGGTTTTAGCTGAATAGTGGAGAAATTACAAATCACGTGAAAACCATTTCTTAAAAAATAACAAAATGCACAAAAGATGCTAACATAATACTAAATTTTAGAGTCACCACTTCAGAAAATCTCATTAAAACTTAATACTGAATAACAGATTTAAAAAAAAAACACTAAAATTTCATTATTAATAGATCGAAAGAAAAAACTACATGATACAAAATACCGGATAAAATAACTAATTGCTTCAAACATTGAGTAAACTTCATTTTTAAAAATATTTTACCCAAATTATATAGATTATGTATTTCTAATAACTTTAACACCAATTTTCAGCCAATGGACACGAAACATTACAATTAAGAATTTCAAGTAAACTATTTATTTTAACAAGATTATCACAGACTACTAAGCTAGACACACGATAATTCTTTTTCCACAGGAATAAATTTCTTTTGTACAGTAATTTCCAAAATATAAATACATAACAGTTTATAATTTGCAACAGTGATAGGATTCTCAGATGTAACAATATCCTTTTTGAAAAAGAAAAAAAAACAGGATAAAGAACAAAAAAGGGGCAAAATGAAAGCACTGAATTCAACAATGATTATAAATGGAGCACCACTCACAAGTTGAAATAAATTACGTGAAAGTTTTTGAAGAAACAGATCCTGTAACAGAAGAAAGCAGCACAAAAAAACAGGACATTGAGATGAGTATTCTTTTATGGCAAAGTGATGATGCGCATGGTATTAGTAGCTCCTGCACCTTTGCGCCATCCAGTGACAATGACTATTGTGTCACCACTTTTGAGGTAAAGTTTCTTTTTACCATAATCCACGGCACACTGAATGCGGCTATCAACATCTTGGGTCCACTCTGATAACCTCTCAGCTATGAAAGAAAAAATAACTATAATAGGCAACCTTAAAAGGAGTCACTTCCAAATTTTAGGGGTTTATAATAGCTTGCTTAATTTAAAAATCTCAAATTGCCTTCTGACAGTATTTTGAAAATCTTAAATGAAATGAGTGATTTAAAATAAAAAATCTATATTCTCTTAAAAACTCATAAAAATTGGTATTTTTTCTTTTTAAATTTGCATTTGAAACAAAACGGAAACATGTTTAATTTTTTGTTTTTAACATGGATTTTCGAAGATCTGTCGCTAACAAAGAAATTTTTTTTAAAAAAAGCCATAGTTTAAGTGCCTTATACTAGAAGCAAAGCAATGATTTTAAACTATATATATATCTTGCCGTGAAGAATTACCTGGGCTTTATAATAGGCAAATTAAATTTTTTGAAAAGCACTAATTGGGAGACATTTTCCCCCTAGATGAAATTTATCAAAAACACCAACTTATTCTCAGCTTCTGCAAATTTTCAGGAGCTCAGATAATGCAGCATTGGAGTAATGTTTTAAAGTATGTATTAAAAATAAAAATGCAAGCTTTTCATTTTCACAAAACTGTGGCTTTTCTCCATTGACATTTCGAGCCATTTTCCAAATAAACATAAATACAGGTTTTAGATAGACTCAACTTGACCTAACAGTCATGAGTAATTGTTGCATAACCTTCGAAAAACAATCTTAACATTTCAATCTCTGCAATGACATGCCTTTGTCGTACCCTCTGAACTTGAAATCCCCCCACAGCACTAAAATTTGAACAAAAAGAAAATTCCTTTAAAACTTGTTTACTTTAAAAAATAACCAATTGCAATTAATACCCGGCCATATTCAGTAATACCACAAAAAGCATAGCAAATATTCCTGGAAGTTCATCTATCACGATCAAAGAGTTGAGACACACACAAATTAAAACTGATGAACAAGAACTAGTGTTTTAGATAAGGTTTTTAAAATTAAAAAAAAAAAAAAAAAAGAAATACACAGAGTGTTTTGTAATCACTGACCTTAATTTAGAATACTTGGCAAAAATGAAGTAAAGTATATACAGTAAGGGTAGCAAGTTAAGCGAGAAAATGAGAAACCTGACATGTAACTATTAGAGAAAGACTAGACAAGAACATACCAGTTTGATTACTAAAAGAAATTTTTAGATTTTTCTATATTTCATTTATTTTTCAGGGAATTAACAGGTTTGATGTTCATAATTTAGCGTTCCTCATTTTTAATAATGCGCTTTTCTTGTTTAAACTATTTGCAACCCCAAATGTATAGATCTTTGTCATCCTACAACAAGGATTCTACAAATATATATCTTGTAAAAGTGGTGATTACAAAAAACTCGTATAGGTATGGTTTTAATTCAAAAGAACATCAACATCCTACAAAATACACACATAATGTTAATTTAAACGAAACAAACGTTCACAAAAAAAAGGAATAGTATTTTTGCTTAACATTAAACAAACTGATTGTTGACATTTATTAATGGCTAATTGTTGACTACTATAAAATGTAGGCAAAGATTTGCAAATGTTTGATACAGAACACAGTACTTTCTTCTACACCTATAACTTTTTAACCACCTGGCACGCAGACAGACAAATTTTTCAAGATTTCTTCCCTAGACTCTCATTATCTAAGAAATTTTTTTTCTATGTCGGGAAGAAATCGGCTGAAAGTTTAACTTTCTACGAGTCTTATCACCATAGGGTAAAAAGACATGGCAAGAATAAGAAAAGGATAATTTTGAATTACCAGTGAAATGGATACCATCAATGCCTCTATACAACTTAGCTTGCCTAGTCGTTAAGCTAACTCTGGAAATAGCGATGATAGGACATCTTGGTCTATACTTTGAAATCATGTGGGCAGTTCTAAAACATAAAAAGTTAAACTATAATTGCAAATTATAAAAAAAAGAGATCAATAGTTAGAAAATAATTTATATCCAAATTAAGTATTTTAATCACCTGCATTAGATTTTATTCACCTAAAATATCATTAATACAAGTTGATAAAAGTGAAAAATAACAAAATTTTATTCTTAAGCAATTATTTTTATCCAAGTGATTAACTGAATTAGGGTTTAACCATGCAAAAGCAAATATGCAGAGCATAGTCACATGCAAAGAAATCTGTTACAAATTAAGTCTGAAGTAAAAATAAACTCTTAAGAAATTACTGTGTTACATTAAGTTTATCTCCCTGTATCTAGCTGGAAACTAAAACACAAATTCTGCTTATTCAATTAAAAATTAGTACAATGGCACTTTATCCAGTTTTATTTCTTTTCAAATTATTGCAACAAAACTTTGGAGAATAAGAGTTCTCTCTCTTTTCCAAAAGAAAAGCTACTGCTGCTGCTTTAATTATACTAATTCAGTCAAAACTGTACAGTCTTTTCATTAAATAAGACAGTAAATTTTATAAGTACAACAATAATAATTTTTTTTTAACTATCATTTAGAATCTGGAAAGGATGTAGAGTTAAACTGAGCTAAAGCCAATGCAGTTAGCTTAACTGCACTAAACTTGAGGTAGGAAACAAAATGGCAAAAAATATGTTTGATAAAAGTAAAACAAAGGTTAGCTTTAAATCAAACTCCAGAAAAAATAGAAAATAAATTTTAATTGTCAGGATCATTCAGAATATGTTATAAGTTTAAAATTCCTAAATTTAGCACAAAATTTAGATTAATTAAATTTTAGAAATTTTTCTTTATCTTTGTTATTTATATTAATAATTACTAGTGAAGTTTTTTTTATCAGTTCCACAACCTTTTGCACATTTGGTGTATAAGCAACAGAAATGCATAGCTGCCAACACAGATAAGAAAAAATTTATGATAACTGTTGCATAATATACAAAGTATTTTACCAATAGGGAATTTTAGGGATTTTTAATGTCAAAAATAGAAACTTTATTACATTAATGACTAGAAATAGTCTAATATTTTCCAATTATGATCACAATAAACTTGAATTTGAAATGTTTTTTTTTATTATGTTAACTCATAATTTTGAATAGTAATATACAAATAATTTATTATTGATGGTTAAAAGATTTAATTTAAAAAGAGATTTCTGAATAAAAATATTCGGACATTTTTAGAGCCAAAAAAAGGTTTTAAAATGATTACTATCGATGTGGCTTGGTTAAGTATTAGTAATTTAAATATTCAAGCAAGCAATAAATTGAGTAAAAATTCTATTTCAATAGATTTTTGTACAAAACTGTATCAATTTTAGGGAATATTCTAAAAATTTATAAAAACCAGGAGAATTTTTATTAAACCACCAGACTAGGATAAACTGGCAAAATCCAAAGAGTACTCAGAAAATTTACTTGGAAATATAAAGTGGATTAACTTTTGAGTTCAAAAATCTAATTTTTGGCATTCAATTTGATTAAGTATTACATTTAAATACATGGGAATAATGTTTTTTAACTTTTAGAAACAATATTAAACAGGTAAAAAGCTATTTTTTATATGTCTTAAGTGAATTTTTGGAGTTAAGTGAATTTTTGGAGTTAAAAGTGAATTAAAAAAATATAAACAGGGTCTCTTGAGTGTTGTGTAAAAACAAAGATAAAATCAAAATTTAACTTGCACACATTCCCTCAGATACTTGTTTCTGGGTAATGTAAGAATATCGCTTGATTATTACATGCACTTAAAACAAACTGTCAACAAAAAATTACATTCAGCTTGAGACATTTTGCAATCAGTTAAGCATTTTGTTTCCAATGTTATTATGCACAAAAATTGAGATGATTCTCATTTACCCTATCTCCATAAAAACTATTTTTAACTAAATATTATTACAAAAAAGAATTTTCTAAAAAAAAAGATTAGTTATTATATTAAAGTTTGTACCTTCCAGTTGTAGTGAGAACAATGATGGCAGAGGCTAAGCTCTTCATGGCTGCATTTACAGCAGCAATTGCTACAGATAATGTGGCATCAGTGGGAATAGTAGTTTTCAACATTAAATCACTGAACACATTTCTATGGAAAACAGCTGCTTCTGCTTCACGGCATATAGCATGCATCACTTGGACAGCAGCCACTGGATATTCACCTTTAGCTGTCTCTCCAGACAGCATCACACAATCTGCACCATCCAGGACAGCATTGGCAACATCAGAGCTCTCAGCTCTGGTTGGCCTAGGTTTTTTCACCATACTTTCCAACATCTGCAAGAAATATGTAAATCAATTGTTTTCAAACTGTATTTGCATTAAATTATTAAAAGAAAAATATATTTAGATCGACTACATTTTTATAAATATCCTTCATGCTAACTTACAATAAATATAAATAGATGCAAAATTAAAAATCCTCATTATCAAAATTAATTGAAAAGTAAAATTTTCATAGCATGTAATTCTATACTTTCTTTTTTGTGTACCAATGGCCAGACATGTGATTGCTAGAAGAAATTATCGGAAATGTTTTTGAACTTTATGGTTGAATAATTTTACTTCTAAACAAGATAATTTTGTTCAGAGAGTCCACAAGTCAATGGCCCTAGAATTCGTGGAATTTCGTGAATTAGAGGGGAAAATCACATGCGTGCCATGGCTATTTTTGCAATGTTTTCAATTTTTTCATAAATTCAAAGACATTTCAGAAGGTTTTTTTTTTGTTGCCCAAATGAGTCGAGAACATATCTAAACAAAACTGCATCACATAGACATACTTATGATTATAGTTTTAAGACAATTTATCTTTGAATTTTAAGCAATTTCATTTGAACATTTGGATGGAGCAATTCAAATTAAATGTTTAAGTAAGGTCAGACACATATTTAAGTAGCAAAACAATCACTACCTGAGTTGCACAGATAACAGGTTTGCCAGCAATATTGCANTGCTTCACGGCATATAGCATGCATCACTTGGACAGCAGCCACTGGATATTCGCCTTTAGCTGTCTCTCCAGACAGCATCACACAATCTGCACCATCCAGGACAGCATTGGCAACATCAGAGCTCTCGGCTCTAGTTGGCCTAGGTTTTTTCACCATACTTTCCAACATCTGCAAGAAATATGTAAACCAATTGTTTTCAAACTTATATATTTCCATTATATCATTAACAGAAAAATATATTTAGATTGGCCTCATTTTTATAAATATCCTTTATGGTAACTTATAATCAATACATAGATGCAAAAATAAAAATCCACATTATCAAAATCAATTGAAAACAAAAAATTCATTGCAAATAATTTTATACTTTCTTTTTTGTGTATCAATGGCCCAACATGTGATTGCTAGAAGAAATTATCAGATTTTTTTTTTTTAAACTTTTATGGTTAGATAATTTTATTTCTAAACTAATGAATTTTGCTCAGAGATGAATAATAGACAATTTACACAAAACGTTTAAGGGAGGAAGAAAAACAAATTAAAATAAATTTTCTCCCCATCAACACAAAAAATATATATTCTACTATTGAGGTTGATATTTCTGTATTTTGTAGAGAAAAAAACTTATTCCTCTTTATTATATTGTTTTTCTCTTTGCACCTGATAAATTGCCATTACTACATTAATAAACGTGGACTTCATGAAAAAAAGATCTAAAAAACTACAGATATTTAAGAGGAAAAAATAGTTCTGTAGCACCATAGTGATTTATCGTGTTTCTAGTAACATCGGAGTTTTAGAAACCATGAGAAAATCAATAGCAATAACTGCCAAAAGAAAAAATTAGAACACTGCATGGATTCAAAATTTCAATTTCGTAATATCTTAAAAATATTAATTCTTAATAAAAATTGAAACCAAATAAAAGAAAAAGAGGAAGTAAAGATAACACATTTAATCAGAATTGGTAACAAAATATGCTTATTAAAATATAAGTAAAAAATTGAGAAAAAACAATTGTTTCCAGCAAAGGATCAGTAATCATTTTTATACTTTTGCCGCAGTTACAGTAATTACAGCCAGAAGGAATTTATTACGGAATTTCTTTGAGTCTTTTGTTCTCAAAGAAAAATAAAGATTTGCATATTTGCTCTTACAAATATATGTAAAAAAATAGTTATAGCATGTGGATGGGAATTCTGGGAGGGCAAAAAAATTCCCTTGTAAAAAGAATAAATGTCACATTAGCAAAATTTTGGCAAAATTGCAAAATTAAATTTCAAATTAGTGGAACTCTTGGGAAAAAGTTTGTCGAAATAAACTTTTAGATTAGCAGAAGTCCTAGAGTCAATGGTCCTAGAATTTGTGGAATTCTGCGAATTAGCAGGGGGAAAAAAATCACATGCTTGCAATGTTTTCAAGGTTTTTATAAATTCAAAGAAATTTCTGAAGGTAAAGCTTTTTTTTAAACTAGAAGTGCCCAAATGAGTCAAAAACATATCTGGACAAAACTGCATCACATATACATACGCATGATTAGTTTTAAAACAATTTATCTCTTAGTGTTTTGCAATTTCATTTGAACATTTGGAAGGAGCAATTCAAATTAAATGTTTATGTAAGGTCAGTAACACATTTAAGAAGCAAAACAATCACTACCTGAGTTGCACAGATAACAGGTTTGCCAGCAATATTGCATTTAGCAATCATCATTTTCTGAGCTAAAAATACTTTTTCAGTAGGAATTTCAATACCTAAATCTCCACGAGCTACCATAATACCATCAGACACATCAATAATTTCATCAATCCTGCAAAATAATAAATTTAAAACATTACTGAATTCCTCATACAGTACCTAACAGTTTAACAAAAAAAAGCAATTGTCTTGAGACACAAGCACCAAACTCATAATCTTACAACTTAATATTTATGACTTAAAACTTTGTAATCTTTAAGTTAATTTTACACATTAGATTTATTAATGCAGTTTTATTTCAGCACAGAAATTTAAAAAAAAATTAAAGCTATTTTTTAATTTAAATACTCACTTTTTCACACCTTCATGATTTTCAATTTTTGGAATGATCTTAATATGTTTCCCCTTCTCTCCTAATATTTCTCGAATTTCTTTCACTCCTTTGGCATTCCTAATAAAAGAAGCAAATACCATATCCACCTGCAAACCAATATAAAGTAAGACATTAAAACATATTACGAACTAGAAGTTATGAACAGTGATAAAACCAAAATTAGTTTTATTACTTAACATTTTACTATAATAAAAATACATACTTTTTAAAATTTACAAAAATATGCAAGTTAAAAATATAGAAATATAAGAAAAATTTAAAATTTCAGCAAAAGAATTGAAAGAAAGGCCAATGCAATTTCAAAATTGAACATGTTACTAATGATGAAAACCTTCCTTCCTAGTAAACTCAAACATCTAAACCAGTTTAATTGCTAGATAAACTTAAATATGTCTTCAACAATCACATTTTAACTTCGAGCTTCCTCCAGCAATCAAACAAGTTGATAATTTTAATAATAAGTTTCTCATAAATGATTTCCTAAATTAAGATATTTGTTTTGATTTTTCTATAAATTTTAATTTGTGACTTCTAATGAATTTTGTTGGAAAGGATACTAAAAATATATACCAACATCAAAGACAAGAGTTACAGAACACTTCATTACCAAAATTACCTTTATATTGTTTTGTTTTTAAAGAAAATTAAGCATCAATAGTTTCAATTCATAGGTCATCTATCATTGATCATTTATTCAAGTATATTGATAAAAAATTGCTGTTCATTATAAGTGTAGATTTTATTACTATGTAATCTAGTTTATTTTTTAGAGTTTTTCTAGTTTCGAATAGCAATTTATGATGTTATGCCTTGTTTTAGATGTTATCCTTTATTTGGCCATATTTATGAAAAATATTATTTATTCTTTTCTGCAGAGCATCTTCCAAGGTATAGCATGCTTGGGGAGTCTTCCAAATTCATGTGTTTGCTTCGATGAAATTTAAATTGGAGTTATATTGTAAACACTACAAGAATAATAATTGATAGTGCGATTTTTCAAGCTTAGGCATAAAAATCAAAAGTAGTAAACGGGAAGTACCACAAATTTTTAACCTTAGCACCATCTGTGCTTAGGATTACAATGTCAAGTTAAAAAATTAAACTTACACCAATCAATTAATAAATCAAATTAAATAATTAAACTTACATCTTGTTCAACACCAAAGAGAAGATCTTGTTTATCTTTTTCAGATACAGCAGGCAGATCTACTTCAGCACCAGGTAAATTGCAACCCTTCTTGCTACCAAGCATACCACCATTCTCAACTTCACATTCAACGCTATTTGATCCTGTATAAGGACATCAATGTTTCATTCAGACTTATTTTTATTAAGACAAATTTCTATTGTTCTTAATATGTTAGTGAATAATTAAGTTATCAATTCATATAAAAACAGCGTGCAAAATAAAAAATAGACTATCCCGAATAAATTTTTTTTAATGATCAGATCTTAATCTGACTATCGTAACGGTGCTAGGGGGTGATCTAAAATATGATAATTAGTTAGCGCAAACGATATTTTAAGTTAAGAAATCAGATGCAAAAATATACCTTCTCTAAATAAACATCCTTTTCCTACTGTAATCTTATTTCCAACCTTCAAAATATAGGGTTAGCCCAAATGTGGGAAATTTGGTCCTAATAATTTCGTTAGGAGAGCGGTCCAAAGTTTGAACACCGTATTGTTACTTTTACTCCATTTCACCATCAAAAACTTTTTAAGCGAGAAGATAAATTTTTGTATACAATTCCAAAACTATTTTATCCGAAGAAAATTCCAGGCAAAATATAAATTTTAGTACATATTTTTATTTTATTTAAAAGTCGAAAAACTTTGGAATTGTAAGGTACAAAATTTTTACATAATTTTAAAGAATGTAATTTTAAAATAGCAAAATTTAAAATGTAAGCGAAATCTGTCAAATAGGTCACGAGAAATCGAATTTAAAAAATAAGACTCAAAATTTGATTTGTCAAGAACTGTTTTACAGATCTCTCAAATTTTGTATTTCACCATTTAGTATTACAATCTTTAAAATTATGTAAAAATTTTATAAATTACAATCGCACATTTTTTCGACTGTTAAATAAAAAAAATTACTAAAAGCTATATTTTGCATGGATTTATCTTTGGATAGTTGAGTTTTATAACTGTGTGCATAGCATATTTGAAGTCTCTTCAGTCATCTAGATTAAGTTCTGAAACATGATCCAATCATTAGACCAAAAGTTATTCAGGGTGGTCCATTTTCTATTTTGTGTACTAGAGTACCTAAACACTGAAAAAATTATTCTGATCTCTCTCTGCAAAAGTTTCTCCATCTCATTATATATGTTTTGCAAAAATTTTGAGTAAAATTCTATAAACACGCTAAAAAAAAGTAAATTTTTTGACAAGTTAATGGTAGATTACTTCTCAAGGCAGTAAAATAGCATAAACAGCACAACCAGATAAAAAATAAAGGAAATATAATATACTAGCAGAACAGAAATGAGCAAAAATTAACTGAAACTTAATATAGGTATGGAGAAATAAAAGATTTTAGCTAGTGTGGAATATTTCAACTTGCCGATTGATTTGACCACCAAGGAAATTAAGCCATCATCTACATAGATTCTGCTTCCCGGAACGACAACTTTAGTTATGTTTTTATAATCAACATGTATCACTTCAGCAGAACACTTTTCTATATAAGCATCATCAGTGGTCACCTTTACCATTTTTCCTTTAACCATCTCAACTTCTGCACTAGGACCCTAAATATATAAACACATATATTTATGAGGAATTTAGTAATAAATAATATCAACATAAAAACGTAATTTCATCTCTGTTAATTCACCAATTCAGAATAGTTATATTTCCTCTAAAAGAAAAGAAAATCCTATAATTATACTTCCTATTCTCCAAAACCATAAAAATCTTACTTTAGAGATGTGAGTCCCAAAAATAATGATTACAAAAATAAATAAAAAAACAGTAGAACTAAATGTAAGATTTGCTGCATTCTGCTGAGGAAACTAGCTAATCTGAGTAAGTTATAAATTTAGTTATTAAGTTCCTCAAAAGATGGCGCTACTGACAAGATATATTTTACTGGATGTTAACCATGGGCATTATTTTGTCTTTGATTGTATCATATTGCAACGAATGGAGATTAAGAAAACATTCATTATTTAAGCAGCCCCATTTGTTGACAACCTAATTTTCAAACTGGGAGTTTATGAATACCTGGTTTATAAGCAGAACACGTCTATTTCTATAATTTTAATACTTTTAAAAATAAATCTCACTAATTTTTAACACCAATTAATGCTACCATTTCTTTGCAAGGCAAGGATGTGACAAAAATGTTCTGCAGAAATTTATTGATTTAGGCATGATATTAGTAAAAATATTTTTGAATTTAAGATTACCTAGAATAAAAAAACACAAGTGAAAATCCTTTTTTGTACATTTAGATCAGAATCTTAAAACCACAACTTAATAATGAATAAAATTTCAACCCATAGATTTAAGAAAATATTGTTAATGTAAAAGATTACAAAACCACTAATTTAACTAATTTTTTCAAAGATGGACACGAATAAATTTAAATGTCATATCTATTAAAACTTTTTATAGAGAGGTTAAATTACCCCTTCAAGTAATCCAGTTCGTATTTCAGGTCCCTTAGTGTCTAGTGCAATAGCTACAGGATAAGAAGCTAAGCCTTCCTCTTTGGCAATATTGCTAATGGCCTCTCGTGCATTCTTTATGGTTCCAGCATGATACTAAAAATAGAAAAGTGTTTAAAACTTGCTGAAATTGATCTGTTTACAGAAAATTAAATAGTCGTGAAATATAAGTAACAGTGCTAATACATAAAATTTCAATAAATAATAAACATCTTTGAAAACTGGAAAAAGAGGCATTTCCTTTAATATTAACTTTGCTGGAAACTACAAAAACTTTCAGCAAACTTAAAATATGAATATAAATCATTTATTAACCAGAGCAGAATTTTTTTTAACTTTAAACATACATAGAAAAGAGAAATAAAGTTAACAAAAATCTTTAAAATTAATCTATTTAATATTTGTGAACAGTAAGGACCCTCTAACCTTGAAGTATTCCTATTTTAAAGTTAATTTTATTTGTCTTTTGAACTATCAAAAATTATATTCATTAAGAAACACAATTTGCATAAAATTTCAGACTCTTCTACTTTAAGATACATTGCTCAACAGCTTGGAAAGAATATACACAACATTTCTGTTTGATAAAGAATAAATAATTTAGAAAAAGTAGCAACTTTATTTTAATGCTTCAATAAAAAGGACATTTAATAAAAAAGACTACCAGAGTTTCAGTTATATATTAAGAGGTTTACAAGTATAACATTTTATAGCACCGTATAGCCTTAAGTCGTAAAATTAATTTAATAGATTAAAAAGATTCACATTTAAGCTTAGTAAACTGATGGCAAAAGTACCAGATGCAGCTATACTATGTCAAACTGAACAACGAAGCTAAAAGAAAAAAAAAAAGAAAAGAAAAAAAAGGATGTTACAAATTAAAGGAAACAAACTGTGCTAAAACTATGTCTGACAAAAACTAAAAAGCGTGAAAACTACAAATGTCCCTAGAATACCAAGATTGTGAAGCTCTTTAACTCTCTTTGCAACTCTTAGGCTAAATCCATTTCTGGCTTATAAAAATTGAGCAATATATGAATAAGACGAAAATTTAGTTTTTTAATTGAAAAGCGTTTGTGATTTAAAGGCACGAAGTGGCTTTAACAAGGCTCAAAGTTACACATTAACGCTGCAGCAAATGTGCTTGATATTGTTCAACATTACAATTATTGATTAAAAGCTATTAGATATTAGCTTTTAATCAATGAATATAATAATAATATAATTATATGAATTTTTAAGTGTAATAGATAAAAATTTGACAGCTACATCTGCAATTTGTACAATAGAAATCAAACTTACATCGTACGTTCCATGAGAGAAATTCAATCTTACGATATTCATACCGGCATTGATCATTTGCATTAAAGTTCCAACTTCTCGAGATGCTGGCCCTACAAATGAAAATATAACATTTAATGCAAGCACTTTACGAACAATATGGTTTTAAAATTTGAATATAACAGGCAACTTACCAATAGTACAAATGATGTTTGTGAGCCTGGGGTAAATAGGTGCAGAATCAATATCCAACGCACCAAGATGATCCAACAAACATACTTCTTCAGCTGCAGAAAGCTGATGAGAAGAAGGTACTTTTACAGGAGAAGACATCTGAAACCAAAAAATGTTACAAACCACGTAGATACAAATACAAATTCGAGCAATCCGTAATAAAGATTTACTCGCACTCACATGAGATAATGCTCCAGGGAATATTTTATTTACCTACTTTTTTAATTCTAGCCAGAGATGCAAATTCTGCCAACGAATGTTCGTAAAGAAAAAAGTCAAATAAAATATGGTAGGGATGACAATATAAATGTACTTAATAGGTATATAAAAAAAAAGAAAATTTTTCTGGACAGAATTTGTGCATTTGTTAAGCTTATAAGTAAGGAAAATTTGCATGCACAAACAATAAGCAATGTTCTCTACCTGTTTTTAAAAATAAAGTTTAAAATAAGCTTATTTAAAAAAAATAAAGCACACTGAAATACAAAAAATAAAAAATATATATTGAATAACTATTAGCTCAGATATATAGGAAAAAAGGACTATCAATTCGAAATGTGGAAACTTACTATTTTCAATTTACATAATTTCATAATTCATACTATAATTTCAATTTTACATAAAAATTTTAAAAAAAGTTAATCTGCTGTATGTTGAAACTGGTCAAAGATTTAAAATGCAATGGCGTATTAAATTTTTATTTTCAGTTAGGTGTTGCATCTGCGCAATTGACATTAGATTATAATTTAATTTTTTGAACTAATTCAAACAGTTTTATTGTTGGAAAATTTAACAATGTCATTTAATTTAATAAAAATAAATTTTAACGTGTGTTTAAATAAAAATACAAGTATAAATATATTAATTTCAGCGTTATAGTCAAAATTTTATTCAACTCTTATTCCTTTTGAAGAAAAAATTCCTTTTGGATTAAGTTTAAATCACGCATTTACTGCCATGTTTAAAACTGCATTTTTATAAATTCGAAAATTTAATGCTTTGTTGTATAAAATTGTTTTTGAGTTAGAAATAAAGAGTTACAAATCACGGAGAACTATTGAGAGAAACAATATTTACAAACATCCAATTATTAAAAGTCTTTAAGAAAATAATTTATTAGAAAATAAAGCGTCTAAGTTGAATACATATTTATGTAAAACATATTTAATGATTATTAGTGTGGCGTAACTACCACAATAAATATTAAATATAATTTCGATAATATGTAAGACATATAAACTCAATTCTACCTTGAGGTACCTTTTGATAGATGAAGGTTGACATAGTCTACTAAATAAATTCCCTTCATTGATGAACCGGATGTGATAAGAACTTGCCAATATTGTTGGATGATTGACATTAAACAGTTGATTAGCTTAAAATTATACTGCTCAAAGAAAAAAAAATCCAGTGAAGTAAATAAAGACAATAAAAAAAAAATGAAGGAAAAAAATAATGAGCTAAATGCTATGAAGAAAATTTATAATGAGCAAAATGGATATAAATAAATTGGCAGCATGTAATCAACTAGTGATATTATATTCGTTCATCAAATACTATTCCTGATAAAATTCTGAGAGTCAATGAAGGGAATTTATTTAGTAAACTATGTCTACCTTCGTCGATCGTAAGTACCTATATCAAGATAGAATACTATCGAGTTATCAATGTGTTATATACTAGGGAATTTATATTTAATATTTATAGTGGTAGTTACGCCACAATTATTTTTAATACAGCTTTTCTTAAGGCATGTTGACAAATCTCCTCGTAAAGCTCTCCCGTGATAGAGGTTTTGTGACCTGTAAAAAAGTTTTTCTGCCACAAGAAACCCTTGTTATGCCGGAAATGTTATTCTACGGTGCTAATTCTAAATTGCCGATAGAAAGCAACTCAAAATTCACGCATCACTTTCAAAAAGTAAATCGCAAAAAAAGGGTAAACGTAAAGCATTCAAACAAAAAATTTCCGAAAAGTATAGTATTTTTAAAGGAAGTTCTCCGTTCTTTTTTGACTTATTCTTAAAGCCTTTAAAGAAATTGTTTCTTTTTGGTCGTTACATTCAAGTGCTGCTTTATTTTACAAAAAACTTGTTTTTTTTTTTTTTCCATTTTTATCTACGACTCAAGGTTTTTTACAATGTGTAGGAAAAAAGTTTAAGGATTAATTGTTTATTAATATGATCCATCAAATATTTCAATTTTAAAAAATATTGTTGTCTTTAACTCTAAATATTTTGGAAGGAAAAATTCTTCGGAATGCTGATTTCAAACATTTTCGAAATTGAAATTGATTAAAGTTCTGTGTCGCATTGATATGAGAAATATGGAAATATAGCGATTTGTCCATTAATGTGTTGTGTATTGTATTGAAAATATTGTTGTGTATTGTATTATGTGAGTGGTCTGTATAGAAAATAGTTTTGAACGCTTGTTAACAGTTAAATAAATGAAAAATAGATCACCTCAAGTTTTCTTTTAATTCAAGCTGCTCTAGTTCCAAACACATTTATTATGAATTCTGTTCTTAATTTAATTTAAAAAAAACTTAGCAATCAGACAACTATTTGACGCGCAGATTTTTGAAGTCATTAAGCAACTACCAAAATTTATGCGAAATAGAATTTGGCAATTTTCTGATAAGTTTTTCTACAGATAAATTTCTGTCTAAAAAAATTTTGATATTAACTTTCTGAATAAAAATAAAATTTCTTAAAAATTACGGTTTAGATCCCACAAAAATTCAATTAAATAACATAGGCAAAGGTTTTTATTTGGAATATCAGTCTTTTATTAACTGTCCGAAAAGGTTAAAAGAATAAAATTTCAACAACGATGGAAATTCACAGATTCTACGATTTTTGCAGTGGTATCTTTTGTTAAATCTTAATAACAAAATTCTACTTTTGTTGAACCTTTGTTATATTCTTTTTTAACACAAATGAAATTGTTCATAGAAAATCTATTAAAACATAAAACCAATGCTAACAGTTGAGCGCAAATCAAGTGGTAAAAAATAAACAAGTAATAAAATGTCACCGAAACCTTGAGACTTCAAATGAATAAAAAAATCGTATCGAAAATCGGTACTTGCCTTTCACAGAATTCCACTAAATTGATCAATAACAGAGTGAAAATAATTTTCACGATCCATTTACAGGACTTTTTTCAATTTATGTTTCATTTTAATGCTGAACATTAAAGTTTTATGGATAGCAAAATTCCATTTTAAGTAATTAAAAGGTTTTTTGCGAGACAGTGATCAGTCGCATTTTTGATGTTTTATATCCTTTTATTTAAATAAAATAGGGGTTAAGTTTAGGTGCAAGTAGTGGGAAAAACAATTTAGGATTGATATTTTTTAAATATAAATTTTAAATTGGTGCTAAAATTAGAAATTTTCCATTATAATTAATCTCAAATAATATAATTAAAAAAATTTTTTTACAATGTATTATTTTTCTTATTATTGTCTCACAATAAGGTCTTAAATTCAGTAATTCCTATACATTCAATGAAAAATAAAAAAAACAGACTAAAATAATTACTATGCAAAGCATCAAATTTGTTTAAATAATTTAAAAAAAATTAAAACTGTATCGTGAAGAACCAACTTAGATAATCGGAACTTTTAAACAATTTTGTTTGCGAACTAATCTAAAAAAAAAATTAATTTTTATTTAAATATTTTTATTAGAGTCAAAGATATATTTTATATATTTCCACAACAATCCAAGTTATTATTGTGTTGATGTAGAATTTCAAGGCAAATTTCCGAAAAGAACATTTTTTGCCCAAGGTAACTAAATAAAATTAACCAGCTATTAATTCATTAAACAAAAAGGCCGATTTTTGAATCAATAGTTAAGTCTTCTGGGTTGGGTTCAAAATTGCAAGGCTACGGACTTGAAATCCAAGAAAACACGTCTACTATATGGATTTTCTGTTGAACTGTCAAATAATATGACTACATTTTAAAACTATTTTCAATTAAAATTTGTATGAAATTTCTTAGTTCAATAAAACAAATCTTCAAACATCGGAAAAAATAAAGCTTTCCACAATATGTATTTCAAAATTGAATAGAAAATTTTAAATTTTAAAACTAGAAAGTTTTAAGATTAAAATCCGGTAATTTTTAAGAAACCAAACTTAACAATACCGAACAAAATCGGGTAATTTTACATAAAACAAAATGTTAAAAATTTCAGAACAATTTTGTATAATAAATGTTACTAGAATAACGTTGAATTTATAGTTTTCAAGCACTAGGAGTAAAAATATGCTCTGTATCAATTCACGAAATTCGGCAATAGTAGTTTTCAGTAATCCGAAAAATCAGTAATCCCACACCTTCAGTAATCTTAGATAACGAAAAATTAGCAAATTACCGCAAAATATTTGTTGAGTTAAATGAATTATTGTAATAAGTTTTAAAAACGCAAAATATTTGTTGTTTAGAAATGTCACATTTAAATTAATCATTCGTCTGACAAGACTTTAAAACTGCGACAGCAAACGGGAGGGGGGTTAAATTGAATTATGAATTTATTACCACTTTTTAAAAGAAAATTTCCCTTTAGGAATAAAGTTCGAATAAATAGAATATGGCAAAATAAAAATTGCAGTTCCACCTTAACCCATAAAGTGGCTTGATTTTTAGAGTTAAATTAATAACAAATGAGTAAACAATTAAGAGGAGAGTAATCCATCTGAACAATTAAGAGGAGAACAATTTTCTGTCAGTACGCAAATCGTAACTGACAGAAAATTCATAAATTTATAAACATCAATGAATAGCTTTATGTCATAATTTCATACACAGAACTATGCCTATTGTCACTAGATATTCTTGACATATCGGACCTATACGGTTTCAAAACTTTAATACGAAATGCATATATTCTTTACTATCACGCACACGTTCTCTAACGAACAATGGTATTTGAGTAGCGGTAAGAGTCAGAAATAAATATCAAGATGGGAATATTAAGGTATGTAAATTTGAACCTGAATAATTCAGTAGAATTTTCATAACAATAATTTCAACGACTTAAATATTCCTAGATAATCTTGTAAATCATAAAGGCAAAGTTAAAA